TCATTTCAACATGCAGATCCCAGTAAGTCAGCAAGAATAAAATTCTGCTTCTGTAAGAAAAGGATGCTACTTAATGACAAAATTCTGCTTGCAGGATTTACATTAGAGCCTTTAGGCTGAGTTGAATGCTGCTGCAATAATTTAATTGATTTTATTATAATAAATAAATTAATAATAAAACCACAGATAAGATCCACATTCATCTGTGAATCTCTTCATAGTCTTAACTCTTGTCTTTGCTGCAGTGCAACCAAATACCAATGGTCAGGATGTTCAACCAGCAGAAAAAAAGCTGTATTTAGAGCATTCATATATTTGCTCTCAAGCAATACTTTCATTTTATTAATAAAGTCTGCATCACTACAATGATAATATAAATGACTCAAATAAAAAAAAAATCACAAAATAAACAGTCACTAGCAAACATATCATCCTTTAGTCCTTGTCCGCTGTGCCAAGAACATGGCAGCATTAATGTGCTGAAGCAGATATTAAGATCAAGTCAAACTTTTAAGGCTTGCTTGTGAAGACTGAGATGCCTGTAGTCAACTTGGTAACATATTAAGAACACCAATGAAAAATACCTGAAAGGTGTTAATGTGCTGCTGAGCATCCTGAAACACCAAGGCAGGAAGCTATCCTGCAAGCAACAGTAATGGTACCAATGTGCAAAGTAAGCACAAAGCTAAACGCCGCAGGTGGATGGCAGTCCAGGCAGAGGGCTCTCCTCCTGTAACGCAGCTTGTCAAAGCAGCATGCTGCAGATACAGTAAACATACATGCTTGTTTGCCCTGAACCTTGAGGTGCAAAGCAGAGCAGCTTCAAAAGGAGAGTCTGAGTGTCCCTTCATTGCAAATACTACATAGATTGGTGATACAGTCAATGTTCTGGGAAATGAGAGAATGAAACTAAATCCAGTTCTTCTGCTTATTAGATAAATAGTAGCTGTAGCAGCAGGTAAAAAAGAATGTCTGTTCCAGGACCTACCTGGTAAGAATACTCTAAAAGTAATTTTTGAAATTCAGCTTCACAAATGAGACAGGATGAAGAAAACCCAGTTTGTAAGCCCTGAAAGGACTCAGGTATCCATTTGTCACTCCTACAAATACAGTTTCACATGCTTGCAGCACTTCAGTGGGCCATGTACAACACTTAGAATTTACGTCACTTTGGGCTGTTACTTGTGTCACCAAAAGATTAAGTACTATTGGATCAGGAAGTGCCTCCCAGTGCAAACTACTAGCCTGTCTTCTTGGGTGACAACTTTTTCTTTCTTTTTGGGATTTTTGTGTCAGCTTGGGCTGTATATTACACCACCTCAACTCTGTGTGCATTAGTTATTCATTACAAACAGCCAGAGTTATACTGAATTACAAGAGAGCTTTTAAAATGTAAAATTTACACAGAAAATTTGCACAATAATATCTATGAATATTTACGCTATAATCTTCCAGTAAGTACCACCTGACCATCTGCCTCTCTCTATCCCTTTCCCCTGCTTTGCTATGGAGCCTAGATTTGCAAGTATCTATTAAGCAGGCAGGCTAAAAGCACCACATGCAACATGACACTGTTGCAAAAGCTGTCAATTTAACTCAAGTGGGGGTAATTCCTCCATTGTTTTTCTTGCCTTTCCCAAACACAAAAGCTTTCTTTTACTGGAAAAAGGCTGCTGACTAAATGCTAATTAATGCTAATTAAATTTTTCTCAAATGCAGAGCCTGAAAGGCTGCCTATTCACTGATACCACAAAAATATATAAAAAGGGGAGATGGGTGATATTCTGTACAAAAAACTTTTAAAAAAGTGAACTCTGCTGTTCAGCATTATTTGCTTCATTAAAGCCCCTCAGACAAGCATCAGGTCTGCTCATGTAACTTTCTATTGTGTTCACAGCTCAGCAATCTACAGAAGACAAATGCACCTGTACAACGTAAGTTTTTTCAGACTGACAAATGAATTAAACAGTGCTTTCATGGGGCTTCCCCTCCTCAGAGGGGATGGAAGCACTGCTGTTTTCCCAGTGTCACAGTGTAACATACAGACTCAAATCTGTGGCATGCAGGAGTTCAAGCTTGGTGTGATGGGTCTGCTCAGGCCCACCCCTTCCCTCTCCCACAGCAGTAACCTTAAGGAGCATCATGCCCAACTACGCTCTGCTGCTCCCTTCCTTTGATGCCTCCACCAAGGCCCACCTCAGTAGGCTTAGCTGTTCTCCTCACACACTAAATCATAGAGGGTCAAGTCTCCTCTCTTCCTCACTTTTTCAGCCCCTCTGCTGCCACTACTGGCTCCACAAGACTTCAAAAGGAGTAGCTGTTCATTTAGCCTTTCCTTGAGTCTTTCTGCCTCCAGAGGTTAAAACCCAAAGGGCAAGCAGCTGAGAGAACAAGTGAGACAATCAAGAAAGCACTTGTGAAGAGTGCAGGTGGGTGAGAAGCAAGGAGAATGCATGCAGAAGGCTAAGGTAAAGAATCCAGAAAAGGAAATGTACATGAATGTATTAGCTCAAAAAAAATCAACTCACCTTGGTGTTTGTAAGAACATATCTGCAGTCATACAAGCCTCTCACCAATGACTTTTCTCCTTACGGCAACAAACAAATTCACACACCTCACAGAATAAGTCTGACACCTTTACTTAAGGTTTCATAGTCACAATACATGGCATTAGCAGATGTGCTTCTTTGCTTTGCATCTTTATTTAAAGGCAAATTCTTCAGAAAGCATTTTATAAAATGACTAAGAAAGATCAGCATTCTTAGTGCTTAACATTCTAGTTTTATGCAGAGCTGACTGAAAAAAAATTGGTCTGAATGTACATGCCTGTTCTTCATTAGACGCACTTCTCTCTTCCGTGCGGCCTCTTCTGCTGGCTGGGTTGGAAGTGCTGGAGAGGATGCCATGACTACGCCTGGTGCAATGGTGCTGGTAGGGGCGGTGCGAATCTGGTAGGTCTGCACATCTCCTGAGGCAGCTGAGACACAAGGGAACATGAAGTCAGTTTGGTGACAGCGCTGTTAAGCGTGGCGCGAAGAGCACCCAGTCATCTATCTAACTGTGCACTCTGGGCCACAGTACAGGAGGGATGACCATCATCTGGGTCATCATTGCTATCTCAGTCTTAGTTTATTAATGTATGCAAGGTTTTGGGCATTCCTACTGAAGAAGTCTTCACTTGTGCTTGATAACTTGTTTTGTCTTGCTGTATTGCTGTGCTTCTTTTTCCCTTAGTATGTTACTTTTTACTTCTCTGGTTTTTGGGCAGTTTTAGCAGTTTTAAGAAGATGAAGGATGGCAAACAGTATTTCTAGCTATGCTCCAAATGTCTATCTGCAAAAGCAGAAACTGCATGTGTAAGTAATTGGCACAGAAAAAAGAGTGTAGAAATGTAGCATTTACTTCAACAAGACAGAGCAAACTAGGCACTCAACTTCACTACTTCTATAGAATGAACAAGATCTTGGGTTTCTTTTGTTTGTTTATTGTAACCTAGGAGTGTGTTATATTTGCCTGAGCTCGTAAAAAAATATGATACCACCTAAAGAAATCAATTGTCCTTAAGAACACAAAAACCAGAATATCAATGCAACAATAGAATTTTTCTCGGCTATGTATTACCACTGATGCCTGGAGACCTCTTCACTGGATAACTTTTAAATCACCTGCTTTACAATTATAAAGGCAGGGGTACACTTTTCTATTAGTTTTAAAAAACAATTTTAATACCCCCCCATTTTTAATAAACCCAAACATATATTTTAATACAATAAAAAACTTATTTTAAGCTGAAGTAGCTCTGCTTGCTCTAAGTGGAAGGCTAGACCAAATGATCTCTTAAGGCACTTTCCCAAATTATTCTATCATTCCTAGACTCAATGATTACTTGGTGACTAGTTACAAAAGCCACAATAGGAAGAAATTATGACTTCTAATTCAAAAGGGGAAAAAATGACTAATAAATTAAAGTATCCTTATAGAAAGAATCAAGCAACCTTCTTTCCTAACTTCAATGCTTCGCTTTAAATTTACTATTGTTGCAGATGACTATCTGGGAGAACTCAGAACTCAGTTTTTGCAGAACACATACAAAAAAAATTGTGTGGGCAAAATACAGGAAATACAGCATGGAAAACCAAAAACAGATATACTGTTTTAATAAGTAAACTCAAAATATCCACTATTTCATCACTCTGAAGGGAAAGGCTTTGTCCAGAATTTCCTTTAATAATTTTGGAGACTTATCTGCGCCAAAGCTGCTAATTGTGTTTCCTGATACATTTGAAGGAGTTAGGTTGGCAACTTATATCTGCAGGGAGAAAATGTTATAAAGAATGACTGGCTGTGAAGTTTCTCACCTTGTACAACAACTTGGTTGCTGGGTACAAGTATCTGTTGTCCATCTGTGGTCTGTGCATATTGTAAAATGGTGGTGCCAGGTTGGGTTGCAGCTGCATTGGTCATAGTCAACGTCTGGAGACCTTGTACTCCATCTGTGCCATTGTTAGACAACTGTATTGCTCCTCCTTGGGTAATAGCAACTGAAGACAAAAATAAACAAATACAGCACTTAAGACACTAATTTACTTATTCACTTACAGTATTAAACATAGATATGGAAGAACACTGATCTGAGTTAAATCCCTTGAACCCTTATACACCCTCAAATCAGACACGTGGCTTTAATGTACCTTACACAAATCATGCTTTGAAAGAAAGTTTTCAATTTTTTGTGAGACCCATCATTTTTTGAGGCCAAAAAGCGCAGCCTAAAACACAAATTAGTTTCTCTGATAAAACAGCATCACACAGAGGAGCTACAATCCTCCCTCAGGGAATACTTTTTAATTTGTTAGTTAAGATTTTCTTCTTGGTTGGTTTAGGTCTTTTCCTCAGTTCTTTCTTTTTTCTTCTCATCTGAAATTCCTCTCCTCTTCCATGCTTTACGCCCTTCAGTCTCTGCTGCTATTGCTATCCATCTTGTGTTTCACTTTCTTCTTCCTTTGGCCATTTTTTTTCTTCTGATTGTATCCCCCCTTCTCTACAATTTCCTCAGAACCTTCCTAGCAGTGTTTTCATTCATAAAGGTCCAGTTTCACACTTTTTTTTTCCCTTCAAGCAGTCATACTTTGCTGGGTATTTTTTTCCTTTCTCTCCCTCAATCCTGCCATGCAGATGTACTGAGACATCAGTATTCCATAGAATTTCACTGTGTTCCTATATACAGACACACAAAAATCTCAAATATCTCCATGAGCAGTTATTTTACAGTTATGGTAGGAAAGCAGAGTTAATCACATCAGTTTCAATAAAGCTGAGTAGGGTATTAGGCAAAGTGGCTAAGGAGTAAACAGAGATACAAAATTTTAAAGGGACTTTAAGAGAAAGATGTAAACAAGTAATTCTTTCTCCCTTTTGTATATTTAATACTGTGTGTGAGACAGCGTGTGAATTCTAGCTTTACTGCTGCATCCTCAATCCTTTAAGTCACTATATCTACAGAAACATATATTTGTGACATAGTTTAAATAAGGTTGCTGAAGTTCTTGTTTTTTCAGGACTTTCTAAAAATGTAACTGCAGACTGTAATGTTTTTTCTATTAATGAGGCTGCAAATTCGTAAATCAGTATTAATAATCTGCCAGGAGAAAAAAAAACTTCTGAATTACTTCATCTGGTTTCTGAAGTGAAAAAGTTTACAACAGCATTATGGTTACTTTGTATGTTGCCTCGGGATGCATTAGCTGCACTACCTGGCAAGCAGTCCCAGAACGTTAATTGAACATTTCAAATACTTACAATAGGAACGTGTTTAAAAGGCATGGTTATCAAACAAATTAAATTAATCTTATTTTCACCTCCTGCTTTGTCCTAGTCCAAACAGTTACAGAAATAATAGTTCTTCATCTTCTCATCCCCACTTACTAGCACCACTGAGAAATTCAGACTACATACTGTACTGCCCACTGCTGGTTTGGTAAATGGGAGTTGGCACCGTAACAGTGGCGATGGCAGGTGCTGCTGTTTCCTCTTCAGACTTTTCTTCTTCGATCCTTGGCACTCCTGGGGCGTCTGAGGACAAGTCATTCAAAATTTTTCTGGCAAAGACAGTGTGTTGTAGAGATTTTAATAAAAATTGAAAAAAAGAAAAAGTATATTTGATACATAATGCTGGAGAAAACTGAAAAGTGCAGTAAGCCAGCAAGGAAAATACGGGTGCAGAATGAAAAACCCGTACTATCTTCAAACTCTTATTGGAGAGGACTGTTCGAAGTGCCATGCATAGACGGGCAAGGGAGCCAGCACAGAACAGTTGTGCTTATCAACACAAGATACAGGTGCTTCTCAACAGGTTCTTCTCAACCTTCCCTTTTTCTTAAAATCATGTTTCTCTCTCATCCATTTTTACTTGTTTCCTGCTTTTAGCCACATAAAGATTTGAAGAAAGCAGAAGTACGTAAAAACCTGTCTCCTCACTTACACTAGGGGAACTGCTCCATTTCAGAGACCGTAAAGGCCTCAGCCAGAGAGCTCAGTATAAAGGAAGACAGCAGAAATGCTTGTAAAGAGCAATCAGTTTACAGTGTAACACCTGCCTGGGAGACAATCCCAAGCATTTGAGGGAAGTCACACAGTTACATCTACAGGTGCCCTGCCTGAGAAAGCTGTGAGATTAGCTTGGGTAAAGGAAAGAACAGTTTGTTTAATTACTTCCATGGGTTAATTATCCAAAGTCAAAACTGATAAAACATCACTGCTACAGGTTCCACTGAACATGACTGTAAGACTGACCATAGCAGTTACTGCAATTTGCATCACTTAAGACTAAATGCTGTCCTTCAGACGGCTGTCAAGCCCTTTTCACTGCTGGCATATTCTATTATGTCACTGCAAAATGCTTCTTAGGTGAAGGGCAATGTTTTTTTCTAATTGTCCTCATACGTCTTCCTTCAGACTGTGATCAGAACTCAACGTGTGATGAAGCAAGCACAGCTGTAGACCCCAAGCTCCAAGACAACACATTTCTTAAATAAGGGCTCCTAAGGCTTTGGGAGCCAGAACATCTGTATGGAGCTACTTGGGGAGAGCAGTCACTCTCCTAAGCAACTTGACAAACAGAGCTTTGCTGTTGCTGTTTTGACTCTGTGTGCATGTAAGAACCCAAGCATTGCACAAGCACTTGCCTGTGCCAAGCACCACTTGGACAAATAAAAAATTCCCATACAGAGAGTTTGCAATCTAGATGTTAGACTAGAAAAACTAGTGGACAAAATAGATGAAAAAATATGGAAAGAGCAGGGAAAACTCAAGAAGCTCAAAACACAAAAGCTACAGCTCAGCACTTTTTAAGCTTATGTCAGATATCATCTGGTGGTTAAAATCTACCTTTGCCATCATAAAGACAGATTTAAGATAGAAGGTAAGGTGGCAGCTCTACAAATATAGGAGCTATGAACTGACATGGGGAACACATGATATACTTCAGCAGCAGGTTCAAAGTGGAGCTCCTGAGGAAAAGGTATAGCTTTCAATTCTGTGAACCTATCTGCACTTATCTTGTGGCCGAGGCCAGTTACAGCAGCTTGAATAATGCCAACCGGGAACTCACTAAACACAGCAGTAGTCTGGCTCAGCCTTTCTGACAGGACCCCTACGCCAGCCCAGTGTCCGAGCTGCGTATACAAGTTTTACAATGACAAAGTTTTGCTGAGTCACCAGGATCTGGTTTGAAGACAGAGGCTGTGTGGTGCGGCATCAGTGTGTGCAAAAGAATCCATCTCAATGAGAAGTCAGCATGCACAAGTACCCTCTTCTCAGTTTTGCTGCTTGTTTACTTAGCTCTGTTGTCTCATGATATACAGTCGTTCTTCAATATATAGTAAAAGCAAGTGTCTCACTGCAGAAGCAGACTGCAAGGAAGTCTGTGGCAGCCTTGAAGTTAGCAACGCTGCTCCTCACAAATAAAACTATTTTTCCAGATCTATTATGGCTAGGGATCTTCAGCAATGATGTTCACTGTCTTCAGCAGAACAGCCTTGAAGGCTGCTGGAGAAAGTAGAAAATAATCTGCAAGTGCTAAAAAAAAGTAATGGTTGAGGCCTAGATTCTAGCTTATATTTCTAAGGCTATGTTCATTAAAAAAAAGGAGCATCTGAATTTTCTGAAGCAGCAGG